AACAATAAAAAAGTGTCGTTATCTGATGACCTACCAAACGATATTCATAGCCAAATAAAAAGCGATTTCAAGAAATGTGACTAGATTTCCTTACAAATGTCGACCGATGTTTCAGACTTTCCACACTTATTAGTGTTCACCAGAGTGGTCTTTTCTGATTTTTCTGCTAAGGAGGCTCTGTTAGTCAATTTGACTTTGGAAACTCTTACTCGTGGACAAGATATATATATATATATAACGTAGTGAAAAGGAAGGAAAATCTGATTGCAAAACCACTCAACCTTGACAATGTTACGAGCACGATCGTTCGTATTGTGAATTTGATTCGCGGAGGACCGTTAAAGCATCGCGATTCAAAGCCTTGCTCCATGAATTTGAGAGTGAATTCGGTGACATATTCTACCACTCTGAAGTAAGATGGCTGAGTCAAGGTAAAGTGCTCTCAATATTTGTAGCTTTGACGACAGAAATAAAGATTTTCCTGAAATCCAAAGGCAGCAAAACTAAATTAATTCAATACAACTTTGCAATCTCGAAATCGATGTATGGATAGAGCAGTTGACAAAGAAAAACTTTCAACATTTCCAGACGTTTACTCTTCTGGAACAGGCTTTTTCACAACTAATAGTTATAAAAAACAAATACCGAAACGTACTGACTGACGAACACGTCAAAAATAACAGGATTTTAGTTTGCACAACTGCGCAATATAAACCAGTTATCTGAAAATATGCAGATTCAAGCATCATATTAAGTTTATTCCAACTAGGGATAGGTAAATTCGATATTCGAAGCTTCGAGATTCGAATTTTAGATCCAAAATGGCGAATTTTTGAAATCGAACTTTGGGGTACTTAAATTCGGATAAAATCGAATTTTTCTAAAAAAATCGAATTTCGTGTTTGTTTAGAAAAAAAAAAAACACCTCTGCAACTTTCCTCTTGCTGACTAAATTTGGCATAACTGTGTGTGGCCCCACATTTACTTTAGGGATGGAAGTAAAAAAATACATCGATGTTTATAAAAATCTATATTTGCGATGCATCGAATGAATTAAAAATTTACAAGAAAAAGGAACAAAAGGTTCACTCACAGTGAAATGTATTTATTGATTTAAATAGTTACACATCCCAGTTAAATAAATAAATTTATAAACAAGTAATTTTTAAGCAAAAAATAACACCGGCTTCAATTCTCATATAAATCCAATAATCGCATCTAAACCAGATTAGTATGGGACCAAAGAATTATCGAAATCGGTTGACGTGGTCCAATGCGGTAACATACATAAAGAAAAACGAGTAAGAGCAGCGCTTAATACCTTTCATGAACATCTGAAAATATTACTTCAACATATTACTGCATTTGAAAAAATGTATATATTCACGGCATACATACTTAGATAGAGGAGATACATATATAAAAAATTATATCTAAACAATCAAAGGTATGAAAGATATACCTTATACAGCACCAATCTAAGTGATTTTCACTGCTGTGTGATCGGTATGTAAACCGGTAACACAATTTAATGGGTTTAGCTTCCAACATAAAGAAGATATATCGAAAAGCTGGTATCTGAACAATCTGTGGTATGGAGGCAATAAATAGGTTATAGCGACCGGATCTTTGTTCATTTTACTGTAAACTTTCTATTGATAATGAGTGAAAATAGTGCGAAATTAATGTTTCTAGCTGCATAAATGGATAATTTATAACAAAAAATCTCATATCTGAACAATCAGTTGTATGGAGGCTATAGGTTATAGCGACCAAATCCTCACCATTTTCACTGTATTCTTTTCATAATGGGTGGAAATAGTACGAAATTTCATATTCCCAGCTGCATAAATGGAGGAGTTATAACGAAAATTCTCATATCTGAACAATCAGTTGTATGGGAGATATATGTTATAGTCACCCGATCTTTGTAATTTTCACTATAAGTATTCTGTTAGTAATGAGTAGAACGGTGCGAAATTTCATGTTCCTAGCTGCATAAATGGAGGAGCTATGGCAAAAAATCTCATATCTGAATAATCAGTTGTATGAAGGCTATAGGTTATAGCAACCCGATCTTCGCCATTTTCACGAAAGTATTCTTTTGATAATGAGGGACAACAGTGCAAAATTTCATGTTACTAGCTACTTAAATGGAGGAGATATAACGATAAATCTCATATCTGAACAATCAGTAGTATGAGAGCTATAGGTTACAGTGACCCGATCTTTGTAATTTTCACTCTAAGTTTTCTGTTGATAATGGGTGGAAGTATTGCAAAATTTCATGTTCTTAGCTGCATAAATGGAGGAGTTATAACGAAAAGTCTCATATCTGAACAATCAGTTGTATGGGAGCTATATGTTATAGTGGTCCGATTGTTCCGGTTCCGACAAATGATTAATACAATATAAAAATACACCCACTTACCAAATTTCATCAGGATATCTCGAAAACTGAGAGACTAAATTGCATACAAACAGACGGACAGACAG